TAAGGTACTATTATTGTACATTATTGTACTGTTATTAGCGGTATTGTGTGATTGTCGATGACGTATAATGTTTTGGGTCCTTACCTATAACTACAGAATGAACTCTTCCTAACACTATATATACTACGCCTCTCAAGAGAGAGGGTCGAATTGAGTCGAACCGATAGTAGTTCACTCCAAACCAGACTGACAGTCATACTAACACCTTCCACATCTTGTATTATTATTTCGTGTATTATACTTCGTTATTTCTACTCTTGTGTTCGTGTTGTTTTTCCTTGGTCCTAACCTGGACCATAACATATAAGTAAATGGCCATTAGTACACCAGGCTGTTTCTAACCGCTTAGATATAGAAGAAGAAGAAGTAGTAGTAGTAGGAGGAGGACAACGACGACGACGAGGATCAGTAATTGCAAGACATCACTTGATGAAATATAAACAAAACAATGGTTTCCTTTTGGTGAGGCGTGTAGGAAAAACATTCTGTAGAATCGGTTTTGTTATTTCGTTTATTTTGAATTTTTAAGGATACAATAAACAACATTTCAAATGACATCATCTTTAAATAATCAATAAGCAGTCATCTTATACTACGAGTATAGAATAAATTCATGAAATTTTGCTATATTTTTTGACGTCGTCTTATCTAAAGGTCGTTTTATACGCGGAAATATACGGTATCATTTGGAATTTATAGTTTGAATAAATTCATGAAAGTTTGATATGTTTTGACGTCGTTTTATCAGAATAAATTCATGAAAAAGTTAAATTCATGAAAGTTTGCTATATGTTTTGACGTCGTCTTATCTAAAGGTCGCTTTATACGCGGAAATATACGGTATGTCAGTTTGCATGAATTTATACTACAAGTATAGAATAAATTCATGAAAGTTTGCTATATGTTTTGACGTCGTCTTATCTAAAGGTCTCTTTATACGCAGAAATATACGGTATGTCAGTTTTCATGAATTGTAGTTTCATGAGGAAACGAGATATGTTGCAAAATCCAAAAAGAGACCTTGCTGTTCGAAGAAATGATTTTTTTTATACTAACGTCTAGTTTGGTGCCCGTCGGTTTGCTGCCGTCAAGGTAATCAAATTCCAAATCAGAATTTTATGTCCATTTTTAAATACGACATTTATTAGAAAATATATTCGGTTTGAATACAAAAAGTCATGAAAATAACTTCAAAGGAGTTGTTGCCAGACAGGAAGGGAAATTATCCCCCATCACACAGATGACTATTTTGGTTTCAGTCAGTCAGTATGCGTTTGTACAAATGCATAAATGTCCCATATATTTTAATTCAATGACAGACCTAAAAATATTTCTATAAAATTTGAAAAATAAACTTAGAAAATAATTCTATGAACTTTTGTAAGCGTTAATCGTCACTATTTTGCCCGTTTAAATATTACATCTATTAGATTGCTTGCCTCGCTAAAACAATTACGACTGACTAGTGAGTTTGATCCTCACTGGGTGCTCATTAATTTCGGCCTTGTGCTACATCTAAGCTACGCTTGGAAAATCACTATTACATTTATTAGCTACTAGCAGTCTAAACTGTCTTCGACTGAATCTTTCATTATTGGAAATTTTGGCCGTTCAGTTGGAGCAGTTTAAGTTTAAAGTCAGCCGAACTGAAAATCAATATTAGTAACAAGATTTGGGTGCAGGTGAGGCATATCCCCAAATGGGAGGGGGTAACAATTTGAATGGGGTGTGGCAGTGAAAAGTGCCGTTTTTACGTTTTCAACCTTGTTTCAGCCTCGGGCGCAGAAGCAGTTGAAGAGGCGTTTCTCCTCAGTCGTTGAGTCATTTGATCCTCATTTTCAGCCTCACGCGCTGTAGCAGTTGAAGAGGCGTTTCTCCTCAGCCATTGAGTCCCTTGATCATCATTTTCAGCCTCACGCGCAGTAGCAGTTGAAGAGGCGTTTCTCCTCAGCCATTGAGTCCCTTGATCATCATTTTCAGCCTCACGCGCAGTAGCAGTTGAAGAGGCGTTTCTCCTCAGCCATTGAGTCCTTTGATCATCATTTTCAGCCTCACGCGCAGTAGCAGTTGAAGAGGCGTTTCTCCTCAGCCATTGAGTCCCTTGATCATCATTTTCAGCCTCACGCGCAGTAGCAGTTGAAGAGGCCTTTCTCCTCAGCCGTTGAGTCCTTTGATCATCATTTTCAGCCTCACGCGCAGTAGCAGTTGAAGAGGCGTTTCTCCTCAGCCATTGAGTCCCTTGATCATCATTTTCCCTCACGCGCAGTAGCAGTTGAAGAGGCGTTTCCTCAGCCATTGAGTCCCTTGATCATCATTTTCAGCCTCACGCGCAGTAGCAGTTGAAGAGGCGTTCTCCTCAGCCATTGAGTCCTTGATCATCATTTCAGCCTCACGCGCAGTAGCAGTTGAAGAGGCGTTTCTCCTCAGCCATTGAGTCCCTTGATCATCATTTTCAGCCTCACGCGCAGTAGCAGTTGAAGGGGCGTTTCTCCTCAGCCATTGAGTTCCTTGATCATCATTTTCAGCCTCACGCGCAGTAGCAGTTGAAGAGGCGTTTCAGCCATTGAGTCCCTTGATCATCATTTTCAGCCTCACGCGCAGTAGCAGTTGAAGGGGCGTTTCTCCTCAGCCGTTGAGTTCTTTGATCATCATTTTCAGCCTCACGCGCAGTAGCAGTTGAAGAGGCGTTTCTCCTCAGCCATTGAGTCCTTTGATCATCATTTTTCAGCCTCACGCGCAGTAGCAGTTGAAGAGGCGTTTCTCCTCAGCCATTGAGTCCCTTGATCATCATTTTCAGCCTCACGCGCAGTAGCAGTTGAAGAGGCGTTTCTCCTCAGCCATTGAGTCCTTGATCATCATTTTCAGCCTCACGCGCAGTAGCAGTTGAAGGGGCGTTTCTCCTCAGCCATTGAGTCCCTTGATCATCATTTCAGCCTCACGCGCAGTAGCAGTTGAAGGGGCGTTTCTCCTCAGCCATTGAGTCCCTTGATCATCATTTTCAGCCTCACGCGCAGTAGCAGTTGAAGGGGCGTTTCTCCTCAGCCATTGAGTCCCTTGATCATCATTTTCAGCCTCACGCGCAGTAGCAGTTGAAGAGGCGTTTCTCCTCAGCCGTTGAGTCCTTTGATCATCATTTTCAGCCTCGCGCGCAGTAGCAGTTGAAGGGCGTTTCCCTCAGCCATTGATCCTTGATCATCATTTTCAGCCTCACGCGCGTAGCAGAAGAGGCGTTTCTCCTCAGCCGTTGAAATCATTTTCACCTCGCGCGCAGAAGCGTTCGGATGAAAACGGTGGAAACGCATAAACAACATCCGATCACACACACACACACACACACACACACACACACACACACACACACACACACACACACACATATTTTGAGAATTATATATATAGATAATATTATTGTAATAATTTAAACTAGTTTTTAAAAAGTTTTCATGAAAGATATATATCCAAGAACAGACAGTAAATAGTAAAACGTTGCTGAGAGTTATAATGGAGAGGAAGTAGTGGAGAGCCATTGTCGTCAACAATTTGGACTAAAAACCGGCAATGAAGAATTATCTATCAAACAAAAAGACAATCAGCGAAATCGGATGAAAACTGTGGAAACGCATAAACAACATCCGATCAAACACACACATACATATACACACATTTTGAGAATTTTTAGATATAGATTAATCAAAGTCGAAAAATGTTCGGAATCGCGCTACATTCCCTGCTTCTGCCAGTTCAGACCTTTACAGCTAAGACTCGTCATGCCATATACACAGTGGCGAACTATTCGCATTCCATTCGTATCTCATTGGTAAAGAGAGAGTTTTACTTAGACAGCTTTCCCTAGTGCCGCTCTTTTATGGAACAGACTCCCGAAAGGATGCTAACAGACTTCCGAGAAGATGCATTCTCGAAAACTACAAATTGTAACCACTTCAAGTCTAGGGTTAACCGTTACCTGTTATTAGTATCCTGATTATCTACAATTATTCCGTCTTCCCCTCCTACGCCCATACAATCTCAAACAGTAACCTTGTAAAATAAAAATATTTAGCAGGATGGTTACCAAGTTTTACTGAGCTGAGTGTTTACATCGGCAAAAGTTTTCAAAAAACAGACCTTGTTGAATTGAATTTCAGATATTTGTACTTGGGTGACATGAACAGAAAATTCAAGTTAAACCGACACTTAAAAAAATCAGTTTATCAACATTCATAATACACTTTATATTTTTAAACAGAATGAAGATAAATATATTCAAGATTTTTTTTTATGTTACTTTCTTTAGTGCGTGAAAAAGAAAATATGTTTTTGTATCAATTCGACTTGTAAGTTTAAAGTATATCACATCAGATACATTTCAAAATAGGTTGAGTTAATTTAAAAGTAATACAGGAAAAAACAGGCCCAGTAAAAGTCGAATTGAAAAAGTTCTTTCTCGTTTTTATCAGGTTTGTTTTTATCATAGTGGTAAGGGGGACGATTGGACGCTGGTAAATAGGCGGTTGGCTGGTCAGTCTGCCTAATTGTGCTTAGCTGTCAGAATTCTTAGAAAACCGTCTTCAATAAAAATGAAAAAGATAGATGCGCTTATTTAATTTCTTTTAAAAGCCTTTCATTGCCTGACAAACAATCTTCTTTTATGTTTTAAGGCTGAGCCGATTTTGTATATCATGCTTTGAGCTGGAAATGATTTTTCTGATGGACAATTTTGGGGGTTTAATTTCCAAACCGTTACAAGACGTTTATTTATTTTATTTTTTATGACAAGAATTTTGCAGTAGTACTATTCATTATTGTAGTGATTTTGATCCTCAATAAATAGCTCACTATTGTATCCTTGTGTCAGACTAAGCCAAATGCAGTGAATATTTTCGGTGTCCAGCGTGGAGCGACGGGTAGCAAGCAGGTTTTCCAAGATTATACTTATCTTCACAAAAGGATCTGCTCTTGTAATCTTATTCAAGACTAAGTCGAGCTTTGTACATATTTCGATGACTTTGGGCCTTATTTCACTGTTGGGTAATGGTGAACGAGCTAGTTTAGAAACGCATTTCTATTGTGTAGTGTGTTCTTTTCTCGGTACTCGACATTTTTAGTTTTGTATCAGACTTAACGTTGGAAAATAGCTATTGATGATTTCTTGATCAGTGAATAGCAAAAGAAGTTTAGCAAATACGGGTATCTTTTTCTTCTTCTTCTTCTTCCTCTTCTTCTTCTTCTTCTTCTTCTTCTTCTTCCTTGCGTTTAATTCTTCTTCTTTTTTTAACTTTCTTTTTCTTCTCCTTTTTCTTTTTCGTTTTTGATTCTTCTTTTTTATTTTGAAGCTTCTTTTTGTCTTCTTTTATTTCTTCTTATTCTTATTTTCTTTTTAAAGTTCTTTTTCTTCTTTCTTTAATTCTTTTTCTTTCTTTGAATCTTCTTCATTTATTTTGAAGCTTCTTTCTTTCGTCTTCTATTTTGCTTTCTTCTTGCTATTGTTCATCTTCTATTTGAAGCTACTTTCTTTCTTTCTTTTTCTTTCTTTCCTTCTTTTTCTTTCTTTCTTTGTTCACCTTTTACTTCATCTATTTTGAAGTTTCTTTCTTTTTTATTTTCTATTTTGAAGCCCCTTTCTTCTCCTTCTTCTTCATCTATTTGAGCCTTCTTTCTTTTTTATTTTAAAGCTTCTTTCTTCTTCTTTTAGTTTGAACCTTCTTTCTACTTCTTCATCATTTTCTTCCTTTCTTCTCCTATTTTGAACCTTTCTTCATCTTTTATTTTGAAGTCCTTTCTTTCTTTCTTTCTTTCTTTCTTTCTCCTGTTTTGAACTTTCTTTCTTCTTCTTCATCTTCTATTTTGAAGATTCTTTCTTTCTTTCTTCTTCTTCTTCTTCTTCTTACTCCATTGTTTGTTGTTCCATTTCTTCTTCTTCTTCTTCTTCTTCTTCTTCTTCTTCTTTCCACTTCTTCTTCTTACTCCATTGTTTGTTGTTCCATTTCTTCTTCTTCTTCTTCTTCTTCTTCTTCTTCTTCTTCTTACTCCATTGTTTGCTGTTGCTGTTCTTCCACTTCTTCTTCTTCTTCTTCTTCTTCTTCTTCTTCTTAGTCCATTGTTTGTTGTTGTTCTTCTTCTTCTTTCCACTTCTTCTTCTTCTTCTTCTTCTTCTTCTTCTTCTTCTATTTTGAAACTATTCTTCTTCATTTTCGGCTTCTACTTTGAAGCTTCTTTCTTTCGTTCTTTCTTTCTTTTCTTCTTCTTCTTCTTCTTCTATTTTGAAGTTTTATTCCTCTTCTTCTTATTCTTTCTTCATTTATATCTTCTACTTTGAATATTTTTTCTTTCTTCTTCTGTTTTGAACCTTCTTCATTTTCAGCTTCTTCTATTTTGAAGCCCCTCTCTTCGTCTTCTTCTGTTTTGAAGCTACTTTCTTCTTCATCTTCATTTTCTTCTTCTACTTTAAAGATTCTTTTTTCTTTCTTTCTTCCATTTTGACGCTTCTTTCTTATTCTGCTTTGAAGTTACTTTCGTTTTTCTACTCCTCCTATTTTGATGCTTCTTTCTTTCTTTCTTTCTTTCTTTCTCCTGTTTCTTCTTCTTCTTTTGTTTATGCTTTATTGTTCTTTCATGTTTGCTCGACATCCGGGCTAGAAAATATTGAATAGCGTAGCTAAATTAATGAACACACATGGAAAAGTCTTCGGTATTAGAATTCTGGGTGTTGGGGATCGGAAGAATGACAAGATTTATTTCTTCCGTCTCAATTATTTCAATTATTTATTTGCCCTTGTCACGGCACATCAGAAGATTTGTTGACACACACACACACACACACACACATCGATATGCATATCTTCTGATTTACGCTGTCTTATCTTCTTTGCTTATATAGAACAGGAAATTAGGGATTATCATCATCCACTGTATTTCTGAGTATTCTATTTCTGCATACACTGTTCAGACATTTCATATCAAGCATTTAGTATAAATGTACTAGCTTAAAAGCCGCCCTATCAAGCGGCTTTTAAGCTAGCTCCTGCGGAGAGCTCTTGACTGGGCCTTCAGCTTGTTCAGGAGTTTGAGGTCCTTAACAGATGCAATCGTCAGGCCTAACGGTGGCCTGACGATTGCATCTAGCATGAAACAGACTGTCGCCTCTAAGTGTTGACTACTATGTTCACTTTATATATTATATATATATATATATATATATATATATATATATGTGTGTGTGTGTGTGTGTGTGTGTGTTTAGGCTGTAATCCTTCTTTCATGTACTTTTCATTGAATACGACAGACAAGGTCCTTTTATTTAGTTTTTTTTTATACAATTTCTCATGCGATCTATTTTTTTTTCTTTTCGAATGATAAATTATATAAAAACTGTCCGAATGTTCTCTTTATCCGAGCGCTTTCGGCTATACATTTAGCCATTTTCAAGGATTAAATATTTTAGCTGTTAAATAAGAAATAGTTTGTTGTATGATTGTTTTATAAAATGTTTTCATTTTTCAAAACACGACCAAGATATTGCGTCTATGTTATTTCTTATTTAACAGTTAAAATATTTAATCATTGAAAATGGCTAAATGTATAGCCGAAAGCGCTTGGATAAAAAAACCCAAAAACATTCGGAGAGTTTTTATATAATTTATCATTCGAAAAGAAAAATCATTAGATCGCATGAGAAATCGTATGAAAAAATAATTAAAAGTACATTGTTGTATTCAATGAAATGTATATATATATATATATATATATATATATATATATATATATATATATATAATTAAAAATGGATATTGTTTTAAATTGTGATCAGATTTTTTATGGTTTGGGATGGACGTAGGAGCAGTACATCTTCAAAAATCATGAGGTAAGTGATTTTAAGTGTATTCTTTTGATTTTTTAAACATGTTTATCGTCGTGTATGTTGGCTTGCGAAAGTAGTAATTCTGTCTGGAAAGGTGAGATTGAGTGAAAAGGGGCTTAAATTTATATTTTGCTAACATTCAATGCTCAATACAAAATTTTCCTGAATATAATTCCTTTCTTTGATGATATATTTTATAAAAGGTCACTTTTTTAGATTTTGTTTCAGCACACTCTGTATTTTATGTGGTAGATCATAATTTAAACCATTTATTTTCTTTTTTTCAACAAATCAAGAACACTGTGTAAACAAATGGTATATATATATATATAATTTAAAAAAATATATATATATATATATATATATATATATATATATATATATATATATATATGGGTTGCTGAGAAACAAAAAAAAAACAGTCTACAAATTTCCAGGAGACCATTGAAAGTAGAAGACAAACTCCTGAACTATGTAAAGTCTTTCACCTATCTTGGTAACAAAGTCAATTACAGTGGAACTTTGGATGATGAAATCATGCATCGGATTGCTAAGGTTATCAGAGCTTTCGGCAAACTTCGCCATCGCTTGTGGAATGAGCCGGGTATTCGACTGGATACGAAAATTCGGGTTTACAGAGCTGTTGTACTTGCCATCCTTTTGTATGGCTCAGAGTCGGACACCATATAGGCACCATATACGCCAGCTAGATGTTTTCCATAAAGCTGTCTGCGTGCAATCTGTGGAGTTAACCTTCAAGATAGGACATCTAACGTAGACCTGTTTAACAGGGGTAATATTGGAGGAATCGAGACTTTTATCATACAGTCACAGTTACGTTGGACTGTCAGTCGTTCAACTCTGAACCGACTGTTCGGTTTAACTCTCTTCCTACGGGCGGGAGGAACCCGAAGGAGGCTGCGCCGAAGGGCGGAGTCTCCTTCGGGAGGTAAACCGGCCCTGAACCCGTTTATACGAGTTCAAATGGGCTATTTTTTGCCGAGCCTAATGGCTTGGGAATTGCCCACGATAAAAGGCCCTTTGTGCCACATGACACCCTCGGGGGTGACTGAATATCGTTACGTTGGACTGGTCATGTCTTGAGAATGTCTGATGACAGGATACCCAAGATCCTAATCTACAGCCAGTTAGATCAGAGCTACAGGAATGTAGGACGCCCACGGCTAAGATACAAAGACAAGCTGAAAAGCAACTTGTCAGCAGTCAATATACCACATAACACCCTTGAGCGCTTAGCCTTCGAAAGGGTAGAATGGAGATCAACGTGATTTAGTGGACTCGGCGATTTTCAATCTGCTTGTCTGAGTCATCTTCAAGAAGCGAGAGCAAGATCTAAAAGGTCAGCCAATCTAACAGTGATCTCATCTCACAATCCTCACACTTGCTCCATATGTGGCCTCCTTTCTAAACCACTAGCGGGTCTTAAATGCCACTTACGATTATCGCATAAACTTTCATGACTGATTCAATAAGCTGGCAGATCCTCATACGTCGAAACCGACGGGAGAGTCTATTATATGGGGGTGTATTTGTCTGTATAGTGGCATTTATGTATGAACATGTAAATGTACATTTATGTATGCATGAAGATATGTATGCATATAAGTGTGTTGGACAGCATGATTTATTCCATTGGGTGCTCTGGTATTACCCACATTCTATAAATCTATCATTCAACTAATTTACCTTAATCTTAACGGGCTTAAGTTTAAATCTCCCATCACTTTTTAATAATATTAAACACCTATGGTACAAAAATTGTTTACTGTGAATCCCAGAAAAAGACATTCCGGGGCTTTTATAAGAAACGCCACAAAATACGGACTGATATTAAACTACAAACAACAAGTCCTGGCCATAAATAAACTCCAACCCCAGACTGCTTACCTCGAGATAAGATACCTTACGCTCCCACCAATCGTTAACACAACCCCACTCTCATTAACAAGGCATCTACCAGAGGAGGACTGACATTGAAAATAAATCTAAAACAATGCTCCGAGACAGACACTTAGGTGCTGATGATAGCCGTGGAGAACGGCTTGAAATAGATTATCTTTAAGTTGAGGTAATTTTTGTTTTGTTTTTTTTTTTTTTTTGCTGTAAAAAATACATATGCCCTGTTGAAATAAAAACATCGGGCTCTCTATGGATCAGTTTTAATAATTCCTTTTAGTAGAATCCACTACATTATATACCAATGGATCAATTACCTGTATATATATATATATATATATATATATATATATATATATATATATATATATAGTAGTGGTAAATATACACATACATATATATATATATATATGTGTATGTGGGTACACGCTTATATGTATGTATGTACGTGTATATGTTATTGTGTATGTGTGTCTACGCATGTGTTTTTGAACATAAAATATAGGTCCTTACAGATTAGATAATCGTTATATTTATTTTTTATATGTTTATATTTGATTTGTAACCTGTAGTCGATATTAATTTTGTCAAATTTTCTTGATTACACAGCGGCTCTTTCAGTAAATGCCTTTCAGTTTTAGTTTCCCCCGCCCAACCTCTCTCTCCCACCCCTTCTTCCTTTCTTTTCCTCTCCCTCACTCTTACTCTGATCTTTAACATTAGATCGTCTATGGTGTGTGTATGTCACCACAAAATGTATCCTTTCCGGTTACAACTTTAATCTATTAGACATCCGACAACATTCATATTTCTCTCACTTAAACCGTCTTCAACTCACCTCTAAAATTCTCCCTGTTAACTTTTAATCTCGCACCTTCTCTCGTCTGTTACCCTCTCTTTAGCTCTAATATTCGTCTCATTACTCTCATACTTACACTCTCTAAAATTCTATTTTTATTTCGGAGTTGTTTTTTTCTGTTTTCTTTTTGAATTTGTAGGTCTGATGAATTGATCGTATTTACGATTCCAATGGAATAAATTATGACCATGGAATATTTGTGTTTAAGCCTTTTTTATTATATATATATATATATATATATATATATATATATATATATTCTGTATATGGGCAGTAATCCCTGTCCTTTACTCAATTTTAACAGTGTCTTCAGGTTATCCTTCTTGACATAAAGTGTGTAGAATCTGTCCAAATGTTCTATATATCCCGACAGGCCTCGGTCACTCCACCAACCATTATCAAGGATGTTTTCTTTTTCATTTATATCTGAATATGCATCTCGCTCTCACTCTTTCACTGTCGAAACTGTTAAATATAGCCTTCTCTTCTACTCTAATATCTTCATGTCTCGCACTTCTCGCCTGTGGAACTCCCTCCCCTTTTCCTGTTTCGCTGAGAGCTATAATCTCCAACTATTCAAATGTAATGTCAGTCGACGTCTCCAGATGCCTTGATCTATCCCCTATACTTCTCTTCATCCTTTCCTCTATTACTCCTATTTGCTCTCGCTCCAACTCTCTGTAACCCCTTGCGTGCTAGTGGCTTCCCGCCTTGCTTGGGATGAAACGCTAAAAAAAAAAAAAACACTATCTACAGTGATGGGTATGTTTTTCTTTTTCATTTTGCAAATATAGTTAGCACGTTGTGGAAGTGTTCATGATTGATATTGTTGAGAACTGGCCTTTTCTCTTTATTTTTTGTTTGAATTCAGCCATTATTTTTTTTTTTCAAACGTGGGTGAAGCTATTATAGTTGAATTTTCTATGAGTATGCTACGAATGGAGTATGGTAGGTTTTCATGTATGTTGAAATGGGTTCTAATTGAGCTATCGTCTGAGAGATGTAACTTGAGTCTT